CCCTGGTATTTACTGCATACCATTAGCCCCATAGGCCAGCTAAGAAGATTTAGGAATTTTCTATTAATTTGATGATCTCTTGAGTTTGAATAATAGAACTGCTCAGAAAATGGAATTTTCCATCCCATGGGAAATTCCAAAATATTGACATTTGTTTTCATCTGAAAACAGGATGAAAAGTCAAAATTTTCACAGAAGAAAAAGTTCAGAAAGATTTCACTTTGGAAACATCAAAATAAAAAAATCATTTTGAAATGTCAATCAAATTTAAGCAATTTGTTTTTAAATGTCAACCTTTCTGATGATTCGGAATCTGTATTGAAAAATTGCAAAATTTTCTCAAAAGTGACATTTTCCCATGGAAAAATTTAGATTTTGATGAAACTCATAGTTTGTAGGGAAAATTTACACCTGTTGATTGAGTTGTATTTAATTCTGGTCCTATTTTATCTCATCAAATGAATAGTGGCCCAGATCTTCCTTGAAATCAGATAAACCAGTTTATGCCAGAAGAGGATTTGATCCAGCAGTTGAAGTTATTTTTGAATAAACACTCACCTTGGTGTAGTGTGGGTAGACGTCAATGTGTGTGCAAAGGGGAGCATGTTTTTGCAGATAAAACACTCAGGCTCTGAGAGACAAGCAAAGAGAAAAGAAGAGGAAATTTTTAAGGTGAACAGCAAAGCAGAAATGAAAATGAGAAAACTTAGTTCAGGGCTCACAGCAAACCAGGCTGGGGTGGAATTTGGTACCGAAATAAGGTTTAGCTTCCACAGTGACTTTCCTTTTATCTTTACTAGCCTGGGTCATAGAGAGTCAGAGGAAATCATCCCATTCCAAATGTGTGATACTGAATATACTTGGCTGGCTGCTTCTTCCAGATGTGAGTGAATCCAGTTAAATATATTTGTCTTAACATGTTTTGGCCCTGGTCTTTGGCTCTGGCCTAGGAACTGAGCAGAACTCAGTTACCTTTTGACTGCCCCGATCCTAGTTCCATTCTGAGCTAGACCCGCCTTCTGGTGCAAGTTAGAGCAATGTAGAGGCTACTGTAATTTGTACCAGCTGTCAAAGGCTGTTAAGGCTGCTGGGGATCACCAGGATGTAGGAATGCCTCAGGCACATGGTCTTTATCGCAACTATGATCCTTGTGCTAGCCACGGGAATGAGATGGTGGTAAAGGAATCACTTGGCCGCTCTATGCAATCCAGCTACACTGGGACAATGCCTCCACTGAGGTAATCCTCCTGTGGCCAGCTATGCCAGCTTTAGGGCAGCTTTCCATTAGCAGAGCAGTGCAAATCTGCCCTAATGCAGAAGAAAATCTGTCCCTAAGCTTTTTAATATTCTCTCTTTGTATTTATTCCTGTCCTGCCTAGCAAATACAAGGCCAACTCCAGTGAACTCATGACCAAAGAGAAATATAAGTAAGATCACTCACACACCCTTGTTAGTGTGTTGCTTGTCTCATATGCAGTCAAATAGTTCACTCCTTTGGCTTTGAAGAAGACTCAGCTGAAGTATTATGAGGGAGGTGACCGGGTGGGTAATTTATTAGCACTGCAGCTGTGAGGCATAGAGGTTGAGAGAACACTTGTGAGTATAAAGAAAGAAGGGGGAGATATGGTATACTTTCCAGATAAGATTAATCCAAAATTCTACAAATCTCTTGATACAGTGAGCTCAACTCCTTTTTTAGAAGATTTTATTAGGAGAGAAACATAAAGGCTTTAATTCTCCTGGATGGTTTACTTGTATTTGCTTATTTGCAGAGCTCTGGGCATCTCAGGAATACATTATATCTGGTATCTACAAATAAAATGCCTTATTGCACACACAAGTTATGACAAGGGGACCTGGAAGGCAGCTGTAGAGTATATTTTAGTGAAAAGGAAAGAATGAGCAAAGTAGGGATGGACTGCAAACCTCTCAATGTATGTTTTTAGGTTTGCTGTGCTGCTTTGAGTTTGCAAACCTTTTCCACCCATAATTTTAACCTATGATTTTTAAGAGTGATTCAATTTACACACATGCTTTTCTGTCTAAAGGGAAATGCACTTTGAGAGCTTAATCAGGACTGGGCTCCTGGTGTGCTTCGCACCAGTGGGGATCCCTATACATTCTGTGTGTGTGTGTGTGTGTGTGTGTGTGTACACACAATATAGAGGGAACCCACTGGTGCCTATCACACCTTGAGTGTCTACCCATATATACATATAGATATATAGAGAAAGATGACATACATCTAATCTCCCTCTCTGTATTTGTGTGTGACACACTGTAATTTAGAAAAGTTCTCTCACCCTCTCTATTCCTATTTTCCCCCTTACAGTCTTTCTTAAGTAAAATCTGAACCCACTTAAGTCTGAGTCATGCATGAGGTTGCGGGCTATTTGAAATTAGGCAAAATGGATTAATTGAGACTCTGTTGAGACTGCACTGTGACAGCCTGTTGGGGTGCCAGTTTTGTAATGTAGGCCCTTATCCACTAATAAGTGGACTGAGACTAAATATGACTTTTGAGCATTTATATCCAGATGAGATTTTAACCAGTGACCTAAGAATAAAAGGTTCCATATCCAGCTACCCGTCCTCTGAGCATACCTCTCAACCTTCAAATCTGCCAGTGTATGACCCCAGCAAGCAAAATATGTGACAAATGACCAAAATATGGAACATCTGTATATGGCTGCATATGACACCATAACTTACTGATTATGTTTTTTATCTACAAAACCTGTTTAAAGGATGTTTTCTCTTTGTATAAATTAAGTAACTCTTTTAAAAATAAAACTGTAAAAGCAAAAACTCTATTGATTGCAGCTATAAAGTCGCCCCGACAATGTGGATCATCCATAGGTAGGGCTCTACCAAATTCATGACCATGAAAAATGTGCCACAGACCATGAAATCAGACCTCCCCGCATGGGGAAGCTCCAGGGATGCTGCCTTCGGAGCCCAGAGCCCAGCTCCGAAGGCAGTGCAGAAGTGAGGGAGCAATCCTGTGACCCCCCCCCACAACAGCTTTGTGACACCCCCCAGCCCATTTTTGGGTTAGGACCCCCACAGTTACAACACCATGAAATTTCAGAAGTAAACATCTGAAAATGTGAAATTGAGTAATTTTAAAATCTGATGGCTATGAAATTGACTAGAATGGACTGTGAATTTGGTAGGGCCCTATCCATAGAGTAGGAATCAGAGCTCCAACACAAACATTTACCACTTGAACGATAGGAGTAATTAGTATCCTTTATATCAGGGGTGGGCAAACTTTTTGGTCCGAGGGCCGGATTGGGTTTTGTAAATTGTATGGAGGGCCGATTAGGAGAGGGGGTTGTGGCCCGGCCCCCACCTCCTATTTGCCCCCCCCGGGACTCCTGCCCCATCCAACCCCCCCCCGTTCCCTGACAGC